AAATAAAAGGCATCCAGATCAGCAGAGATGGTTAAACTATCGCCATATGTAGATGATATGATAGTGTACACAGAAAAACCCAAGGACTCAACAAAAGAACTGTTAAAGCTAGTAGGCCAATTTAGTAGAGTGTCAGAATATAAGATCAACATACCAAAATCAGTGTGATTCCTCTACAGTAACAAAAAGAACTCAGAGAAGGAAACTAAGAAAGCAATACCATTTATAGTAGCCAACTACAAATTGAGATACCGGAAAGTGAACCAAAGACCTGTACAAAGAAAACTATACAACATTTCTGCAAGACATGAAAAAAGACCTAAGGAAATGGAAAAGTGTGCCCTATTCATGGATAAGAAGACTCAATATTGTGAAAATTACAATCCTATCAAAAGCAATCTACATGTTCTGTGCAATCCCAATCCAGATACCAAATTCATTTTTCAAGGATATCGAAAGGGAAATTGTCACGTTTATTTGGAAAAGCAAGCGACCTCAAATAAGAAAAACACTTCTGAGAAACAAAAATAAAGTAGGAGGCATAATACTCCCTGACCTCAAAACCTACTTCACAGTGGTAGTAACCCAAACATGGTACTGGTAAAATCACAAGCACATAGACCAATGGAACAAAACTGAGTGCTCAGAAATAGACCCAGCTATCTATGGTCAACTGATTTTCGACCAGAAAATAAAACCTATCAAATGAGGAGACTTGTACACCAATGTTTATAGTAGCGTTATTCATCAATTCAATAACATGGAAGCAGCCCAAATATCCAACTATAATCAAATGGATTGAGAAATTACAGTACATTCATACAGTGGAATACTGTGAAGCATGCACGAACAATGATTTTGTAAATTACTACCTAACTTGGGAGAGACTGGAGAGTGTTAAGCTAAGTGAACTAACTCAGTCCCATAAGGACAAATACTGTATAAAACCATTATGTAGAATATGTATGAGGATCCAAGAGAAGGGAGGATAAAAGCAGAGGGATAAGGGGGGGGGAGTTAATAATATCTGATGGGGGTGTGTGAAGGAAATGAGAAAGACCCAATGTGAAAAATAACGTATTCGAATTTTGTAAACAAACTAGTATATATATTTTTTTTAAAAAAAAAAGAAAAGAAACACAGGGAGATAGTGAGAATAGTGATTATTTATAGTAAGGATTGGATCAATGTCATAAAACAAAATACGTAAGAATGGTTGATTGAAAGAGCAATCTGCTCTGTAAAACTTGAATCATAAATAAGGTTTTTTAAAAAACTAATGAAAAACTGTTGTGACTTAGTGGTAAGAGTTTGCACTGCCAACCCAAAGGCACACGGTTCAAATGCACCAGCTACTCTTAGGGAGAAAGGTGAGCAATCTCCTCCATGTGATTCAGCTGCCTCGGAAAACCTACTGGCGGGTCAACTCTGACTCAGTTCTGACTCAACGGTACCTAACAAGATGCATGTTTAGTTAACAAACTCAATAACTCATTGTCCAGTTCAAATCCACCAGATGCTCTGCTGGAGAAGGAGGGGGCAATCTCCTCCTGTACCAGTCAGATCTGATTTGACGGTACATGTAAAAAATGATACAATAAAAATTAAAAGAAAAATAATCTTTAAAAAAAAAATAACTCATTGTCATCAAATCAGAACTGACGCATAGGTAATGCTCCAGTGAGTTTTCAGACGCTGTAAAATCCCCCTTCTTTCTCCCACAGAGCAGCACCAGAGTCAAACTTCCTGCTTTCATGTTGGCTGCAAAACTCCTTACCCAGTCACCAGTGCTTCTCTGAGGCCTAAATAGGGATATTTCTACTTTGAGTAAGTTATCAAGAGGGCCCAGTCCCTGGAGAAGGACATCATTCTCAGAGAAAAAGGACGGTGAAGAAGACCCTCAATAACATAGATTAGCACAGTGACTGCAATTATCAGCAAAGTGGAGTTTGTGGGGATGGGACAGGATTAGGCAAGCTTTTATTCTTTTGTACCCAGGATTACTATAAGTTGGAGCCAACACAAGGGCACAGAACAAGACAGGCTGAGTAAATGGGAGTTCATTAGTGTCTCATGGTAGCTGTTAGTATCATTAAATAATAAACCAATTCAATTTAAAATCAGAAACTTTGGAGAAAAATAGGCACTGACAATTTTTAATCACACAGCCACCACTGTACTGAGAGGACTCAGGGTACATGTCCACAGAGGACAAGAAGTTCATCTCTTGTGCTTTGAGTTTATGCCTTGACTGATGGCTACTAAAGCTTTTGCAGGTCCTGGGTGGCACAAATAGCATGTGTGGCATTATTAACTTAAAGGATGATTGTTTGAACCCACAGAATACTTAGAGACTATCTCTGGCCACGAGTACAATGGAAAATCTCAGTGATGATATGCTTCTGTTTGTTGTTTTGTTATTAGATGCCGCTGAGTCACCTCTGGTTCACAATGACCCTGTATACAACAGATGGAAAACTTGTCTGCTCCTGTATCACCCTCACAGTCTGCATGAGCTTAAGCTCATTGTTTCAGACACTGCTTCAATCCATGACGTGTAGGACCTTATTCTCCATCACAGATCCTCTACTTTTCTGAGAATGATGTTCTTTCTTGAGGACTTAGCTCCTCCTGATGTCGTTGTGTACCGTAGAGTTGGAACCAACACACAGCTGACCCTCTGCTGAGTCTTCAAGAAGCAGCTAATCGCATAGGAGAGTGCTGATCCTTTTCCCATGGAGCAGCTGGTAGCCTCGAACTACATGCCTTTGGGATTGCAGCACAGCTTTTTGCCACTAGGCCACCAGAGGTCCTGATAACATGTTCAAAGTATGTGAAACAAGATGGAGAGATAGATGGCAGGAGGAGAGAAACTGTCTCTTAGATGTCTGAGTTTGTTGTTGTTTTTGTTGTGCTGGGATTTTTTGGTTTGGTTTCTCCCCCTCTCCTGCCCCCAAATAATGCTAGAGTAGAAAGCCATCCTACAGTCCACTTTATCTAATCCTTACTGGCCAAAGAGGAAATTCGGACTGAGACACGACTGACACTTTGCCCAAGCACACCCAAAAAGTTGTTAGTGACAGACTGGAGTCTACACCCCAAGTGTACAATGCTGCACCTTCTATTCTTTCCAAGAGACTCCATGGATTTATTTCCCTCATATGGGGGGTGGGGGGGATGGGGAAGGAGAGGAGCAGAAGTGTTTCTCATCTTTCCTGGTAGGAAAATAACAGATATTTATCCATCCCCTGGGTTACAAAAGTCTAGACTTCTCTTTTGCAAGTGTCCTGTTCTCTCATGGGACTGCTTAAGAGTAGGGAAGCCATGTGGCAGCCCGAGGCAGCTAGAAGAGGCAGAGGGCAGGCAAAGCTAGGCATTAGGGGACAGTGTACAGACAGGGCTGAGAGGGAGGCACATTCCAGCATCCAGTATGTGATCTTTTCTTGATTCTTCTCCCTCTAGACAGATCAACAGAGGTCTTCTAAATCTTTTCAGGCATGGGCTCAATGACCCAAGATTTTTGAGGAATAGAAAGAAAGCAGCTAAAATTATTCTGTTGCCTAGAAAGCTTCATATTGCCAGGTTCCCAGATGTCTGTGGAGCAACTGAGCCTCCTGGGAGTCCTCGCCTGATGCTGGCCACCTTACTCAATCTCGCCAAGTGGGCATTCCTGTCCAAGTGAGTGAAATGCAAAAACACAGCCATCTCTGCTCCTGTACCTTCAAAACCACGACCCAATAACATCTAAAAGATGTTATTAAAAGAGGGATGCCCAGAGCTGGTATTCAATGCCACCTTCCATGGTCCCGAAGACAAGGGCTAACTGGAAAAGGGAAACGGCAGATGACAAACCTCTCCATCATGGTGATCAATCTCTCTCATTCATTATCTTCTGTTCCCCCCACCCCAAAGCCTGTAGAGACTCAACAGCAAAACACTCTCAACCATTCTCTTATTCAAACTCAAGCTTCAAAGGAAGAAGCACAGCCAGATGAGACAGGCAGCTGGGAGACAAGAAAATAACCTGCAGTCTCAACCTTGGCAAACGAGGAGCAAAGAAATAACCTGACCTTGTGGAGAGAAAATGATAACCACAGTCCCTACGGAAAAGGTACAGAATCAACATAGCCAAGAACGTACAACAACAACAAAAGTCAGCTGCCAACACTGGCAATGATCATTGAAACAGCTCAAAGCCTTTGAGTCATGGATTTGTTTAGCTCATTTTTTTTTTTAATTCGGGGGGAGATTTAATGGCACAGGTGCAAGAAAGCTCCCGCCAGACTCGAGACCCGCCCCACAAGTTTAGCTCATTTTTTAACTAATCTGCTGAATTCCTGAACCTCCTAACCTCAAGTACTTCCTAATTTATCTCACTTACCTATGAGCTTTAGCAATAACTTGCTTGAGTTAGTGAACCGTATGGATGAGAGGTAGGTCCATTCATCATACATGATGTTGGTAAGTATAGAAAGTACACGCCAGCCCACAGTCACATATATTTATCCTGCTAGCCCTGCCTCCATGCATCTCCCTCCTCTGACCACAAAGGTAATGGCATGGAGCAGCAGTGGCCCAATTTAAGGTAAGAGCTGACAAGAACTTGATCTAAAACACACCTTCCAGCAACACTGTCCAATAGCCTTGCTTTTGTCCACCAAAGACAGTACATGTGATTCTCTATACCTACAGGAAGAACATGTATCTGATTATCTGCTCCCTATACCTGAAGAACTACCCTGTTCATGCCTAATGGCTGAGGAAAGACTGCAGCTTGACCCAGGACAAGAGGAAAGGTCTATTCAGCTAATTCTGATGACTTTTTCTCCACCCCAACCAAAGTGCCGCCAATTCCTTAGAGGCGAGGATCATGCCTTGTACTTTATATGTTACCATATGTTACCTACTGTGCACTGGGCTAGACATCTGTCAAGTACTCAGTGGATACATGGCGCACTCAACTCACTTCTATCCCGGGAGGCCACAGAGGTGGAGCCTACCTCTCCATACTGGGTGCAGTAGGTCTCAGGCTTGGTCAGTCCACAGGTAGATGAAGCGTGGAGAAACTGGGTCCTCCCAACAAGCAGGTCCCCAACAGGTGGATAACAGGCTCCTCGGGAACAGGCTTGCTGGGCATGCAGGAGGCTGGGCAAGGCTGTAATTATAAGAGGTGGTGGGGTGAAGACCAGAAAGGGGATACCCCAGTATCCCTCAAAGGGATGGATGTTGGCAGAACTAGACTCCCACTGATGCTGGCCTTATTGGGTAGATATTATCAAAGTCCTGATATCTTTGAACAAAACTGCTGGCCTCACATTCTGAAATCTGGCAAAGCACTACCCTTGAGCCTGGAACGTGGTACGCAAATGGGGCTTTAGGATCCAGGATACACACACATTCAACTTAGCAGCACACATGGTCACACGGTCTACAGCTCTGTTCCCAGCAGTGTGGCTGTCATCTGCAGCCTGGTGTAGGGCTGACTGCAGAGCCATTTGCGAACTGTTCAGACATGCCAGCATGCTGCTCCATTATCTGCAACACGGACCCAATCCCACTGTATCAGTGGCCAGCCACCACCACTCAAAAAATCGAAAACTCAGATCATGATGCTCTGATCCAACTTGAAACAGAGAGGGTGATCTCATGACCAATCTAATCATTAGATTTGATGAACAATCAGGAAATCCAAAACTATGCTGAGAGAAAATTAAGAGGACCAAAATTTAAAAAAAAAAAAAAAGAAGAAAAATAGTAAGAGGACAGCAGGGAGCCTTTTAAGAGAGGTAGAGGCTGTTTGATTCCAAAAAGAACCAACGAGAAGGGGAAATCTCATGATGTTCCCAGTAGACTAGATCTCCAAAACCATGAGATAGGTGATAGGTGATAGACTTTGGCAAACTCCCTACCTCCCCATGATTGTCACTTCAGGGCTTGAAGGTGTGAGAAGGGGTGCTTACCAAAAAACAGGAGGAGTGGCCCCATCTTCAGCCAGTGGGGTGATCCCCCAAATAGACTTTACCTGGAACAGAGAAAAGAAGCATGTGTGAATAGAATGATCCTTCAGGGCACACCACACTCTTCTTTCACATTTAAGATTTAGTCTTGAGCTAGAACACTTCTGGACAGCAAGCTGGTGCGCTGTCACCAAAGTCTTGGAATACGCCTCTTTCGCAGCTAGCAAGTGACTCACAATATACCTTGAGAAAAGTCCAGTGTCCTCTCAGACTTCAACTTTCTCCTCTAATATGGAAGTTCAGGAGGAGGGACCACACACTACCCCGCATAGCCGTAAGGACAATGAGGGAATAGGCAAAGCCTAGACAATTTGCAGGACAGAAATTACAGGAAGATCCAACTCCCTGTTGCTGCCCCAAGAGAAAAGACTGACCTTTCTTAAGGTTGAAACTACAGACACAAAGGTGGATGATAAAAGAGGCCGAGGGCTTTGCTGGAAGTGATTCTCTCCTTCCACAAGCATGGCTTCCAGGCTGTGGAGGCCACAACACTGGACTATGCAGGTAGGAGGAATACAAAGGAGACAGACACAGCTGCCAGGATTTCATCTAAACTGGAAGTAACTTCAAACGCCTCCAATGACAGGCTGGGGCTGTATAGGAGGGGTGGGACAGGAGGAAGTAAAGAATAGGTTCTGGAGGGGTCTAGAGTGGATACTGAATGTCACAGTGAGGGTCTCACATGCAGACCTGCCCTTCCATGATCTTCTTCCCTTTGTCATGCCCTGCCCACCTTCCCCCTGGACTGGACACTCACTCTGTTCCAAGGCCAAACACACACTGGCTTCTCTGGCGGAGGTTGTAGGTGCAGGGAGCTGACAAGGCAGGGCATTGGAGGACCTGGGCTCATTCCTGGCACCTTCAAATCCTACATCCTAATACTCCAAAATAATCCCTTCCAAAACCCTCCAGGGAGATTGGGTCTGAGGTCAAAGCCCAGGCCTAAGAGGCAGAACTGTGTGGTTTTCCTCTAGTTCTATCTGCCCTCCCAGCCCGAGTCAGAAATCCCCTGGAACTGGGCATTGTAAGCACTGCTCAGACAGGCCTGGCCAGACCACCCTTCCTGCTTCTCTTTTTTGCTCAGTCCTAGATATGAAACTGTTTTTTTCTAAGTGACGGAGCCACTTATCAGACAGTGAAAAAGAAATCCAAACATAGGCAGGCGTTTTAACCTACCGTGTCAGAGGTGAGCTCACTCAGGTGAGCTCCCAGGAAGAGGAAGGAATCTGGCCCTGCAGCTAGGCACCAGGCACCCAGAGATCCAGCACCCCCACCGGGCAGGTGAAGGCAGATAACATACCTCCCTCCGCGCTGCTCCTGCTCTTTCTCTAGATCGCCTAAGAGCTCCCCCGTGAATGTGAGGGTCTCCCTTCCTGGCTCCAAGTTTTTAAACAGCCTCACCTCTGGAGACTCCCTGGCGGGGCGTAGCCCCACTGCAGGGCGGCTCTCAGGAATCTGGCGGCTGGCACGCCCATCTGCCGTCATTGCACCAGCACCCACCCCAGACCCTGAGACGGGACCGGACAAGTGGGTTGGTCCAGAGGACTCAGACAGGCTTAGTAGTGCCAGCCTGCTGCCATAGGTGCGGTAAGGGCGTGCGGGGGTAAGAGGCAGCAAGTGTGCTGTGAACAGGAGCACCAGGCAAATAGTGCTGAGGTAGTGATCACCTGAGCCCAGGATACCTGGAGTGGGAAAGGGCATGAACATTTGTTCCAAGCGCTGTTCTTGGCACTTTCAAAGGACAGTAGAGTCAATGTCTTTCTATGGCCTAGACCACCCAGAGAGAAGAGTAGATAAAGATCAGGGCTTGTACGTGGATGTTACAGCCCAGACCTATCACAAGGGCTGGAGATCAGAAGACCCAAACCTCCAGGCCCCTGGAAATCACCTAACTCACCCCAAGACAGAACAGAGTGGAAAATCCCAGCTCCTTGGGGAATTTAGAGAATCCTTAAAGGGCTATGTCTCACCCGGAAGGGGTCAAAGCCCAAATCGACCAAGGAATTGGGAACATCTCAGAAGCATGAACAGGGTAATGAAATGCCTCCCCTGGGGCTCCCTCTGCAGGGTTGGCAGCCAGCCGAAGGGCAGGTAACTACCTGCGTGAGTCACTGCCTCCACCTCCACTGAGCATTAGTCGCTTAGCTCCTCCCTGCGTGGGCAGGAATGCCCGCCTGGAGGACCAGAAAACGCATCTGACCACAAGAGATAGAGGGAAAGGCTGAAGCAAAGCTGCGCTGAGAAAGGCCACGCAGACTTCCCCTGGGCCGGTGCCACGGGTGATAATGCAGCTTCCTCAGTGGGGCCCCACGCAGGCTCCCGGCTTAGGCGGGCTGGGCTTCAAACCATGCTAAGTGGCAGTCGGCACCAATCCAGACTAGGAGACTAGTCCCATAGGACACGCTTTCCCCAGGTTAGGGTCAGAGGACTTGGAGAGAGAACTGGAAGGGCACCCAGTCCCTGTCTTGGCCCTGGAGAGCCTGCACTGGCATCATTCAGGAACACTCTTGCTCACTCCTTCCTTCCAAGAGTCTATTTAAAGGTGACTCTGTCACCATGTCCCCCTAGCCAGAAGGTTCTCTATCCATTGGAGGACTATATCCAAGAAATCGGCTTGAGAACAAAATGCTCCTTAGAAGAGAAGAACGTGAGGCCCATGCCTGGATGGACAAGATGTGGTTCTTGGAAATGTAGAACAGAAAACCCTCAAATCGCTCACCCTCAAGTTGGAACCAACCCATCATCGACTTTCCAGTGGGTTTTCAGAGGCTATAAGTTCCAAGGGAGGAGATTGCTCATTTTCTCTCTCAGACCAGCTGGTAGATTAGAACCTCCTGCCCATTTATAGGGTTGCTACAAGTTGTACGTGGAAAGGAGGAGGATCAGTGAGAAAGAGGCCCCAGGAAAATGAACTGACATCGTAGTTATGACAACAGACATACGCACAGAGGAGACCATACAGGAACAGGCAGGGTTACGCTCGGCTGAACATGGGGTTGCGGAGTTAGACAAGCAGAGACACCACTGACAAGGAGAGAATGTAAGGCTGTGCAGATTAATCTGGGCATTCCTAGCTCTCAGGTTATTAGTGAGCAGAAGTTCAGATGTTAGGAGAAGCAAACACTCTATCTAGCATGTAGATAATAAGTTGTTTACGTGAATAGCTAATATTGTAGCTCTCATTGTTGTGAGGTGTTTTCAAGCCAAATACAGCATGTAGTGATTTTATAAACAGCAGACCTGAACCCTGTCCTATCCTGCGCCATCCTCATCATCTCTGACACACTTGAGACCATTGCTGCAGCCACTATGTCAATACACCTGGTCTAGGCTCTTCATCTCCTTTGCTGTCCTCCGCCTTTCCAAGCATGTCATTCTCCCATGGACATGCCCAAAGGACATCCCCAAAGGAACTCTCCTAGCAAAGTATGTGAGTTGAAGCTTCATCATCTTTGCCTCCAAGGGACACTGACTGTACTTTCTCCAAGACATATCTGTTTGTTCTTTTGGTAGTCTGTGGGATATTCAGCACTCTTCTCCACCCTCATTACTTCAAGAGCATCAATTTTTCTGTCATCCTTATTCATGGTCAGACTCTCAGATACATAGCCAGTGAATCAGGCGCACCTTAGTCCTCAAAGTGACATCATTGCTACTAATTCAATGAACGTGAATCTGCCCCCTTTAGTGATCCCAGTGAAATCTGGTTTTAATGCAACAAGTGGCTGTCCCTGTGAGCAGCTCCCCTGCCCCTGTCCCTGACAATAACGCAGACACCTATCATGTCCTCATAGAAACCTGTCACCTGGGGCACCCCTGTGCTTGGGTCCCTCCCATCTGCTCTCTTTCTCTTCACTGTTCTAACTCCCTCAATGTTAGGAAAGTCTCCAGGAAGTGTCCACAGTCCTGGAACTGCCCATCCTCTGCCCATCAGCAGGAAAGCGGATGTGACAGAGTTCATTAATAATTAACTCACCCTGAGAGCAAGCCCGGGATCTCAGACAAGGTGGGGCGGGCAGTAGCTGAGGCTCAGGAAGTCCCCCTCTCCACCCTAGATGGGAGCCCAGGAAAACAAGTGTGTGTTGTCTCAGACTTCACACGTCTGGGCAGGTCCTGGAGCAGTGCAGCAGCGTGCAGAGGAAGACGGCAGCTGATCTGCCGGTGCACTCAACCCCCTCCCAGCAAAGTCCCAGCAGACCTTCTCACAACTTTGGTCTCATAGACCAAAGGCAGCTCAGTGCCGCACCTCACTTTCCAGGGTGCTATAATATTCCAATAGAGTCTCCCACACCACAGCTCTCAAACTCCAGGGGCCCGTCACAGGCTTTAGAACTTTAGAACATGATTTTTGCAGACAGAAAAGCCTAAATCAGCAACATGAAGGCTGACGGGTGGCTGGCAGGGATGAAGGGAGGTGAGGAAATTGCTTAAGCACGTCAGCCTCCTGCTCTGGGCCCCTTCCTCTCTCCATGTCACCCACCCTCCTGCTTCAGAGACCCCAAGGCCTCAGCTTCCACACAGCATGGCTCATTTATGCTCCACTTATGCATGGGAAAGTAGCTGGTAAAATCAGCCTGGATTCCTGCTTCTCTCATATCCATATCAGCAAACACCCTTAGCTCCTCCCTCTAAAGTTAACCTTAAGCCACTTCAACCTTCCTGGCTGGGACTTCTCTTATCCAGGATTCAGCAATAGCCTCTTAACTGCTCTAGGGTCATGTCCCAACAGAATAGCTCCTGTTGCTGCCCTGATCAGAACCCTGTGTAAGCGAGCTCAGTTTGTTGTTGTTGTTGTTATGTGCGGTCCAGTCACTTGCGACTATGTACAAAAGCCCTAAATACCATTCTATCCTGTGCCAACTTCACCGTCTCCGATACACTCATTCCCACCAGCCCAATCAGAGAATCAACCTATCTTATTGAGGGTCTTCCTCTCCTTTGCCACCCCTCCACTCTCCCAAACATGAT